AGCGGCGCCCCATCGGGGAGGGGGCGGCGGGTTCTTCGGGGAAAGCGGTGGGGGCGACCCTCCCCCAGCCCCGGCGCTCCTTGGGGGGAGGGGGCCGATCCCTCGAATAAACCAGAATCTGCGGTGAAATTTGCGTTCCCGGGAGGGGGGGTCGTTTTAAAAGCCTAGCCCAGAAGTTGAAAGAGCTGGAGGCTCTAAATCGCCTTCGTTGACCGCGGCTTCCCAATAGGCTACCCGGAGATGCGTTCACACTTCGTGCCAAGCCGCAAGTAAACAAGCCACCATATTTAGGTTGCATTAAAAAAAACCAAAACCATCCGTGTTAGACCTCAGCAGACAGGTGAGCCTCCCTGCAGTCGAAGGGCAGTCAGTCAGCTGCAGCACCAAGACCAGGGGAACTGCTAGTACCTGCTTCGGGGCCCTTGGAACTCTGCATCCAATTCTGGTCACCAGGATAAGGGGGGGGGGGAAAGACCCCGAGACCCTAGAAATAGCGCAGAGAAGAGCAACAAAGACGATTAGGGGGACGGAGGCTAAAACGTGTGAAGACCAGTTGCAGGAATTGGGTTTGGCCAGTCTAGAGGAAAGAGGGGCCAGGGGTGACATGATGGCCCCCTTCCAGTATTTAAGGGACTGCTGCAAAGAGGAGGAGGGTCAACCTGTTTCTCCAAAGGTAGGACAAGGACTAAGGAGACATGTCCTGATAGAAAAGTGACCAGTGGAACAACCTGCCTCCAGAGGTTGTGGGTGCTGCATCACTGGAGGTTTTCCGGCCCCTTGTCTGGGGTGGTGTGTGGGGGGGTCTCCCATTTCAGCAGGGGGCTGGACCACCACTCCTCCAAGGTCCCTTTTCCAACTCTGTTATTCTGTAGATCCTTGTCTGATGAGAAACTGGATAGCTCCAGATTATTTCCAAGGGCTGCCAGTCTCCAAGCAACGGCAGCCCTCACGGTTTATGCCGGGTCTACGCAAAGCCAGAGAAACTCCGGGCTTTCTAGGGTTAAATCTAAAAGCAGAGCCCCCCCCAGGCAGCCCTGGCCCGGTTCTCCTCCAAGTGCTGACAAGACCCCCTCTCTCCCCTTCGTTTTGCAGATCCGGCCCACTTCCTGGAGACCATGAGGGTGAAGTGCAGCCCAGCCGTGTGTTGGACTCTCCTCTTCCTGCTGGCCATTTTCATGGACAGCGTGGCCTGCAAAGGGGGCCGGGGTGGAGCTCGTGGGTCAGCCCGGGGGAGTGCGCGGGGCACCTCCCGGCGGTCCAAGTCCGCGCCCCGTTACAGATCCTCAGGGACAGCCCTGCGCGTGGCGGCGGCCGCTGCTGCAGGAGGAGCTGCAGCAGCCGCTGCGGCGGCTGGGATGAGCATGGCGGGGCCGGACAGCCCCGAATACGGGGAGATGCAGCCCAGGAACAACACCGCAAGGAGCACTCACAACCTCCAGCCCTGGCCCCTCCTCTGCGTCTCGGCCTCCCTCTGGTGTGTGGCCCTGGTGCCTCGGGCCCTCTGACGCTCAGAGCCTCTGGTGGGCGGCCTCTCGCCCTGAGCCCCCCACAGGCGATCTGGGGGGCCGAGTCTCCCTACCACGATTTACTCAACGGTGCCAAAATACATTACAACCCACTCCTGTCCTGGCTGGCTTCCCCAGTTTTTACTTACTTATTGAGACTGCCATCCTAAAGTCAATCCAAAGGGGGGGGGAGAATGGTTAATTAATGGTTAATTAATGGTCAGTGTCTGCTGGTGGACATTGAGATGAGGCATCCCTGCCCACTCTACGTGGACCGTATTCAAATTCTTCATGCAGCTCTTTTCTAACGATTAAGACGTAAAGGCATTCAGACCTTCTGCCAAGAATTTATTGCTACTTTTATACAGTGGATCTCCAGGGAACAATCTCTCCCTCCGGTGCCTTGTACAGCAAAGGAGCTTAACTTCGGAGTCATTCCACGCCGGATCCACCCACACGGATGCGCAGAAGTTGGTGTGGCAACACAGAGAACGTGTTGGACATGGAAGAGTCCGACTCAAGTCGGACTCAACTATGGGCAATTTCTGGCTACTCATTCCTCTTGAGGCCAATTTATAGATCACAAGGTAATTGTGAGGTTCAAGTGAGGGGACAATACCTTGTCTGCTATCTTGAGCAACTAAGAAAAGCTGAATATTATCTGCTGTATCGTGTTCAAGGCTACTATTTGAAAAAATCAATTATTTCCTTATTCCCCTCTAACAGAGAGAGTCTGGTATGTAACACGTGGCTCTTCTTTTGGCCAAAACTGAGAGAAGCCCAACGTGTAATACACAACACTCTTCTTGCATTGTGTTTTGAACTGGCTGAAGGGGGCAGTTGCCGTATTGGTGCAAACATCCAAGTTGCTCGGAGGCAGCCACGTTCTCCAAGTAGGCAGAAGAAGGCGATGGTCAAGGGCAGAAAGGGTTGGGATGGGCATTGACCTGGACAGGCTGCCATTTTTGTTGTTGTTGTTGTCATGAATGTGATTTTATTTCCTGTGGAAAATCTTCTCAAATGCCCTTGCAACAGTTGGAAGATGCTGAAAACGTCTATTCTCCTTTTGGCTGGGATATTTCTGCCCTCAAAGTCCAGTAAAAAAATCATTTTGGGGAAGCAGCTAATTGGGTCGGCCACGTCCCTTGAACCAGACCGCCACGTTTTTGAAAACATGCCAGAGTTTTCAGAAATTCAGTGGGGAGATTCAGGTCCAATAAACAGCTTTGCATAGTTATTATGACATTTGCTGCCCTCAGATATTATGAAGGCTCTTGAGATGATTATAAAATGGATGAGACAAATGTGTGGAGCTATTAGACTTGAAAGCCAGGCATTCTGAATTGCGTAGAAGAGATGGGCAGCTGTGAGAGAAGACGGCTATCCCTGGACACGAACCTTCCCGATGCAGCCGAAGGGATGCTGGGTCACAGGGAATGCTGCTCTGAATAGACCTTTGCCCTGATTTATCTCATTCGTCAACTCCAAAATGTTTAAGAAGAACTTTTCCATGCATTTCAACACCTGCGATGTCTGGGTGCAAAGAGAACTAGGAATGGTTCCCGATGTTCATTTACCCGCTGGTGTTCAGTTCATTTAATAAAAGTCACTACAATAGCCTGATCTGTACGTATCATATCTTGGATTCTAAGGTTCTGGGGAAAAAAGCACAGGTTTTGCTTCCAATGACGAGCGGGTGAAGACGTTGCAGCAAATGTAAACTTTTTTTTTTGCACTGGATGGTGTGTACGTGTGTGCCTTTGTGTCAGCTTTTGACTCCCGGGGAGCGCCTGGACTCCTGCCTGCAGTTGCAGAAGTGGTTTGCCACTCTGATGCGACAACCTTTCTGCACTGGGGACCGGTACTCCGCTTATGATCAGGGACGATGCCAAGATCCTTTCCACAATCCGTACGCTCAGCCAGGCGTCCCTTGTGCCACCACGGGGCTCTGGTGTCTGTGGAGACTCTCCATCATCCAGGTCACGGTGGTCCCACAGGTGCTTTTCCAAAAGGCAACTGGACCTTCTTGGGTTTTTTTCCTTGAAAATGTTTTTCTTCTCATCCAAGAAGTTTCTTCACTTCAGAGGCCCAGAACTGAAGAAGCTTCTTGGATTAGAAGTGAAACATCCTCAACGGAAAAAACCCACAAAAGTCCAGTTGCCTCTTGAAAAATGATGGGGCAGCGCTTTGATCTTCCCAGCTGCAGTGGAGGGAGCCAAAGGGGCTTATTTTTTCCCCCCACCCCCGCATTCATACAGAAGAGGCCCCTGGAGACGGCCTGTCTTCTGACAGCTGTTGGATGACAGGAGCCAGAACTGGAGTCATCAGGAGCAACCTGAGTTATTCTTGGCAGAGAAAAATCAGTCGTGTCTGTCTCAACTTGGATTCCGACTTTGCGGAAGGACCTTGGGGTGGGACTCCAGCAACTGCTTGTCATGATATTTTGAATATTTGGGGGGGGATTTGTACATTTTGAAGCTGTGTACAGGAAGTATCATGAGATGAAAGCCGCCATCTGTTTTATGCGACCTTTATAGTATTTCGCCGTTGATTAGAAGAGCGTGTATTGGCCTCTGCCTTGAAAAAGACAATCAAAAAGCTGACTTGATACAAATTAAGACTTTTATCGGAGATAAAAAGGGCTGCAATTTGGAAAATAGAATAGAGTCAGAAGGCACCTTGGAGGTCTTCTAGTCCAACCCCCTGCTCAAGCAGGAGACCCTATACTGTTTGGGACAAGTGGCTGTCCAGTCTCTTCTTGACCACCTCCGGAGGGAAGCTGTTCCACTGGTTAATTGTTCCAACTGTCAGGAAATTCCTCCTTAGTTCTAGGTTGCTTCTCTCTTTGATTAGTTTCCATTTGTTATTTCTTGTCCTGCCTTCTGGTGCTTTGGTGGAACAGTTTGACCCCCTCCCCTCTTCTTTGGGGCAGCCCCTCAGATATTGGAACACTGCGCTCTCCTTCATGAGTCACTTTACATGTTCAATTCATTGTTTTATCCTTTTTGTCTTCTGCATCCTTGATGGAGTTATACTGTTCTTTCTTCCTTAGCAAGAGGGACGTTGGTGCGATAGCAATGGAAGAGCAAAGTTAAATTGTTTATTCATAATATCCAAAAAGGGAAGCCAAAACTATGGGACACAGCTCTGTTACAAAACATGGGATAGCAATCATTTAACTTGCAACAACGTATTAATTTCGTTTTAAAATAGTAGCATTTGTGAACCAGGGCCTATGTGGTTTGAATCAAAGCAATGCAATCTGCTTCAATTTTTTTTAAAAAAATAGGAGATAAACAATAGATCTGTCCAGCTATTGCTTTGTCATCCAAGGCAAGCTGGTGCCCATCCCCTGAAGATACGGTACGGAGGACTGGAAAATAGATGTGAAATGATCTAGGATTAGCGATGAAAAAGTCCAAGGGGAGACCCTCCCAAGGGAAGCTTGCATAACCTCTTGCACCCAAAAGGTTACCAGTTGTAAAAGCCACTTTGACACTGCAAGGCCCGACCCAGCTGAGCTTCTGAATAAAGCAAACACCTCCACAAAGCAAACACAGGGAGTTGTCCGTCACTATATACACATCTCTAGCCCAGAGGTATCGACAAAGTCACACTGGCCTAGCCTTTCTTAAGTGTTGCTCCTACCTCCTGGTCCTGGTAGATCCTTGGAACTTTCCAGAAGAAAACTCCAGAGCAAGGTCACTCAAGGATCTCACTCACTTGATCGAGCATTACTTTCCCCAGAAGCCCTTTACGGAACGTGTAGATAAACTCACAGGCTGCCGCGTTGTAATCGGGGACCGATACATTCACATTCCCTGCCAAAAGAAGGAGGAGAAGCCTCAGTGCCCAGCCCAGATGGCCTTTCCTCCCCAAAGGGGGGGGAGAAACACCCCCCGTCTCTGGAGGGTCAGGCCCACCCGGTTTCCAAAAGCTGACCCTCCTCCGCTCAGCATTCACCCCTGGGCTCCCTCGTGGAATCTGCCCTCCCTGCTCAGAAGCACCCGGTTTCTGGGCACACGTGGCTTCCTATGGACCAGGAGGACAGGACTCACCTGTGCCAGTCAGGACCTGAATTTTTTGCACCTTGCCCAGGTGCCGTGCTATGCTTTTGAGCACACTCCCCACTTCGTCGCAGGGGCCACTCAGCCCGTAATGCTCCACGTAACTGCAGAATAGGAGGGAGAAGATCCAAAAAGGGGAAGCCAAAAGTATGGGACACAGCTCTGTTACAAAACATGGGATAGCCCAGGGTCCCTCTCACCTGAACTGCTGCTGCTGGTTCAGAACATAGAGAAGATAATCGGCGATGACCTCCACTCCAACCAGGTGATCGAGAATTGCCCCTGAGCAGAGGAAAAGCAGGCAGTCAGTGAGCAGGACAGGAGAACGTGACGGTCGTCCTGCTGGCCAAGCAGGGCAGACAACCCAAAGAGTTCCAGTCATAGAGGGACAGAGCTGGAAAATCAGACTTAAGGTGGATGCTAATTTGGAGAGGATGCAACACACCTGAACTCCGCAGACATCAAGCAAACCCTGCAGAAACTAGGCTCCCAGGGCTGCGGAAAGAGCAAATGTCACTCCACCCTCCACCCTGTAAGTTCCACTCAAGGAAGCGTTAGGCTGCAGAAAGGAGCAGAGGGATGCCCAGAAGCGTCGCAGGGAAAGAGAAGTCCAAGTCAAGAGAGCCGGGCAAAGCGGTGGCTGACTGGCCTACTTCCTTGGCAACAATCCCACTCCTCTGCCTTTCTGGGCTCCTCCAGCAGGGCCCAAGGGACCCCTCGCCCACCAGCCCTGTCGTCTACGTCTCCGTTTCCAGAAATCCATTCGGCTGCCTGGCCTGCCTTTTCTTCGAGGGCTCAGGACAGCTTCCACGGGGGATACGAGGTGGTGGGAAGGAGGGAGGAGGACCAACTCAACATCTCCCAGTGAGGTTTCATGGTTGAGGGTGAACTTGAATCTAGTTCTCTCGAATCCGGTCCAAGTCCTTAATCTGATTTATTTATTAAATGTGTATGCTCCCCAACTCTCTACCTAGCAGCTCTGGGCAGCTTACGATACTCTAAATAACAGAAGACAACAATTATAGGAATCAAACCTTAAACCCTCAGGCATTAAAAACTAAAACCTTAACATTAATGTTAAAACAGCTAAAAACCAAGGCGTAGATGGGTGGAGGTGAGATATATTGTGCTGGCCTACCAGCCACCTCCCAAACGGGGTGCCCCACATTGGCCCCACATTGTAAGACCACACCGAGTCCTCTCACCACATAGCGCCAGCTTCAGCCCTGTCTCAACGGACTCAATTTGGGGAGACAGCACCCCAGGCGTATCCAGCAAATACATGAGGGGCTTTTCAGACACCTGGAATACGAAGATATCAGATTCAGATTTACAATCTCAAAAGCTGCCCCAGAGAATCATGGGAACACGACGGTTTGCTACGTGTTTAAGAGATGACTGGAGACATCAATTTCCTTTGCGTTTTTGGAGTTACCCACCATGACTAATAAGAGCAAGGTCGCTCAACCAACTTTTAGGCCTGAAACAGGATTAAACTCTCAGCATTTAGAATCTTCAACCACGACATCAAAGTGGGTCTCAGGACATAAGGCACCATTGTTTGAGACCTATTGCTTCAAAAACAGTTATAATGCAGAAACTGGTTACCAGATCTGATTGCAATTCTTTATTTCCATGAAAGCCTGAAATATAGGCTCAATTTAATCTTAAAATTATATAGACATGCACCTCTAGGTCCAAGGTGTTGGGACTATGCCACGTTATTAATCTCCACTATCCCTTCCAGATAGTTCTCTCTAATGGGAAGGAAAGAGGAAGCCACTCAAGTAAGAACATCAACCCTACCATCGGTCAGTGGCAAGAGAGAAGATGGGATGAGAAAGAGGGGGCATCTACCAAGCTTTGTTGAAAATGACCAGCTTTTTTGGGCACCTTCTACCTTGCACTGTATTCAAGGGTTCATTACTTAAGAATCAATATTTCAGATAAGAACCCAAATCTGTACATTTGTCCCCATTTGGCGCAGAAATTATTGGATTACCTGGATCTTGGTCAGAACCGCTTTGGTTATACCGGGTGCCCCACCAACCGGTGCGGCTTTTCCTTTGTCGCAGGGAAAGGAAGAAAAAAAACACAATTATGTGCATTGAAGATGGCAGCGCTTAGCATCTTCTGTTGTCACTGTCTGAGGAACTAACTCTCCCTTTGCTTTAGGTCAGTAATTGACCACGGCCAGAAGCGGAACTTGGCTCCTGAGGTCAACCCAGTTATCCATCTCTTCCCTGGCTACCAAGCGGGGATGCCCATCCCCCGTGTCCGAATGTCAAGACTGTTTTTTTCCACCACTGCTGGATGGACTTCTGAAAAACTGTAGCACTCCAACAGCTCTTGCCTTGGCTTCCAAGAACTTACTTTAAAAACTGGGTTTTTAAAGAAGTATTTCAAAAGAATTAATCACTAATCACTAATGTGAAACATTCTGCAAAGTGGAACCAGACCAGCGCTGTTTTCAGATTATAACCATGCCCACGATTGTGTACCAATTCTATTGGATGTTCCATTTAAATGTATCGATTTGTTTGATCAGAAGCCACAGGAAATACCTTTTTTGAGGTGAAGCTTTCTCAGTGAATTGATGATTGAGGATTTCCCCACATTTGGCACACCGATTACCATGATGTTGTTATCCACATTCTGGAACCAATAAGAAACAGTTGAAAGTAACCTTGAAAACACATTTGGCATGGACAAGAAAGAAATGAAACAGGGGTGGCAGCCCCAATTGTTGACAGATTTCTACAGAGGGACATATATGGAAACATCCTTCTCAATATCTAGGATCCCATTAACTTCAGGCCAGCGATGGTTGAAACCTGGGGTTGTATCAACCCCTAGGAAACATTTCTTCTCTCTTTTGGGATGCTTATAAGGCTGGAAAGGTGCAACCTACAAAAGCCTACTCTGTATGTGCTGGAGCCTTTGCGCTGAACATTGGTTAGGCATGAACGTCTGTTCTTAACGAAATCTGCATTTCAAAAAGAGATATTCCCAGGTGCTGGAAAAGATGGAAGCCAAAGGGGCTAATCTTTTAAAGCATAATGCAGGAAAATACTAATTTGTTAAGCTAAAATTTAGAATTTCTCTGAGGAATTTGTTAATAGGAGTATATACTATAGAGAGAGAGCATGGGTCCTCTAAAGAAAGTCTGCTTTGATTCATTATTGTCTTCATCCAGGCAATTATTTGTCATTTTATTTAATTTTAGCAAACCACTTCTGAGAAGCCCAGCCAAGAAAGCTGCAGGGACTTCTCCAGGGTGGTCGCCAAGACTAAGGTGGAGGTGCACAAATAGGCCCCCCCGCCCGTACAGGGGACAATGGGATGCTAATAAATCCCCCTAAAAATGATCCAGTTCCACACATCAGGAACATTGCCACAGAAAAGAGCAGGATAATCCTTTTTGTTATTAACCAAGTGGTTATTTAAGTATGAAGGAAAAGCACAGCAATGCTTTTGTTATTCAGAATGTCCAGTTTAACTCACCTCTGCCCTCAGATAACGCTGGCTGTTTTTGATCAGTCCCGTGAGAATGGGAATAAGCTACAATAAAAGAAAAGACAGATTCAGTGGAACTGCAGGTCTGTTTTGCTCTTGGAAGGGGGAAATAAGGCTACATGCCTACTTCTCTTTCTCTCTTTCCCTCCCTCCCCAGTAGCTCTTCCATGAGGTAAAACCGATTAGAGCCAAGGTCATTAATTCATTCATTCAAGAAATGTACAAGGCTGCCCAGCTCCACGATTCCTTTGTACCCACGGCTTTGCTTTATCCTTCAATGAATAGGGGGAATGGTTCTAGAATAAAGAATTCTCCTTGTCCAGCCTCATCATGATAGAATGTAATGTTGCCCATTGGAATTGTACCTTCCTTATATTTTCGTCTGTTAAGCAGTCGGTGAAGACAACGTGCTGCACACCTTGCTGTTCCAAGAGCTCCAGAATTCTCTAAAAGTGCATCAAAGAGATTCACAAGAAGTATTAGTGTGGCTATTATAATTTAGATACATTATAGCCGCCCAGCCTAACGAAATGTATTAGTAAGGCAAGAGGCTAATTAATCTCTTAATTAAACAATAAGGCAACAGCCTGATGAAGAAGCCAGGTGTTATCAAACAGGCCAAAGCAGACCTGAAATTTGAACATCAGACACAAAATAAAAACAGGAAGAACTCAGATTCCCTACTGCAAAGTTAGCATGAAATGTTTGACAGGACCAACATTCCTGTCTAATCTAAGCTAAAAGAAGGACTGCCCCTCCCATATCCTTATTTGGGCGTTTTTCAAACTCTGGTGCAGCCTGCAGTGTATGTAAGAGGGAAAGCTGACAAGACTCTACTTACCGACTTATGGGTCAGATCTGCCAAATCCATTTTATTCAACAGTAACAAATGTGGACGGATGCCCAGGACCTCGTTCAAGACAGGATTCCGCCCGGAAAGCGGAATGTGCATGTGCTAAGGAAACAAAGGCCCACAATCCAGATGCACAATGAAGACTGCATTTTAAATGAAAAACGAAGCGGTAGGTGAAGGCAGCACCGGAGCCCAACTCCTACCATTCTCAAATTCATAACTTGGGAAGCACAAAGGAAATTATAGGCCAGCCAGCTTAATGTCTGTTCTAAACAAAGTGGCAGAAATGGGAGCCAATGGAAAAAAGCAACTACCGCAATCCTATTGAAGAACAGTTTTTGTTCGAAGAAAATCAGCATGGATCCCACAAAGGTAAATCCTGCCTCACCAACGTAAAAAGCTGGGGAAACCGTGGAAAAGGGCAGCCGGTGTTTCTAAAACAAAGGGCTGGAAGTCAGAACTGAACAAAATGCTGGGTTGTGAGCCCATAAACACAGTTTCCTTTCCCAGCAATACGATGTGCTACTTATTGTATTATTATTATTATTAATTACTAATTATTTTTAATTACTAATTATTATTAATAATTACTAATTATTATTAATTATTAATACCAAGGGCACGTTCTCATGACCTGGCTTCTACCTCATGGTCACCCCACTGCTAAGGCAGCCCAGGTGTTCTGGTATAGAAGTGATGTTTTGGCCCCCCAAAATATCCCATGTGGACAATCTAGGGTATCTGGAAGAGGAAGACTGAGATGATGCAGGTGGGTCATGTGGTCTGCTTGGCTCCAACTGGGTGGTCTCTGATCCTGCCCATCTCCCTGCCGGGTTTTGTGGCTGTTCTTCAGCTGAGAGACAGCACAACCCACAGCATCCGACAGGTGATGTTGGCCTCTCTTGTGGACAGGGCAATGGCGAACACAGAGGAAGCCGCTTGCCTGCCTCCAGACACAGGAAGCCCCCAGAGGGCCTGCCCCATGGCATGGCACGGATGGAGCTGGTGTTCAGGATCCATCTGTTGGGTGCTTTGGGTGGCAGCGCCTCTCAATCCATGCCGTGATCTCTTTCAGATTGAGCGATCAAGGTTCCCATTAGGGAAGAAAAGGGGTCCAAAAATACATTTATGTAGACACGAGCCTTCCGGTCTCCCACACAGCCAGGCCAGCAGGGGCAGAGCTGGTGGCTGGACGGAAGGAGGCCGGTCAGCGATCTCGAGTGCATCATCTCAGCCAGACACTTCCATGCACCCCAGATTGTTTGCACAGAATAGCCTGAGAATCCTAGGGCTGGAGGGGGCCTCGGAGGTCCTCTAGTCCAGCCCCAAAGGCACCACACCGGATGGAATGGCTGCCTTGTGCCAGCATCACCCGGCCGGCCATGAGGCAGAGGGGAAGGCTCGGGTAGAGCGTGCTGGGCCAAGGAGGCTCCACGGACGCGCTGCAAGCGGGGACCTCCTCGCCCTCAAAGCCTCTCTCCTGGGGGGGGGGG